ACTGCAGGAGTAAAATGAACTGATCTTTTAAAATTAATTTGCAAATAGTACAGGTGTGCTGAATGTTTCCTTAACATTTTATCGGTTCATAGAAATCTAATGAAACATATGTTTGTATTAAACTGCAGGAGTAAAATGAACTGATCTTTTAAAATTAATTTGCAAATAGTACAGGTGTGCTGAATGTTTCCTTAACATTTTATCGGTTCATAGAAATCTAATGAAACATATGTTTGTATTAAACTGCAGGCGTAAAATGCTCATGTGTTCGATCTAGTAAATTAACTAAACAGGCGCAGTAAGATTACGTGATATACTTCTCTCATAATAACATGGCGTTTCGAAATTTCATGTAAATAGACTTAGATGTTTCCTACATTATCATAGGCCTAAATATCCATTTAAGTACATGCACTCATCTTCATGAGTATTGGTGGTACGTTAACTCATGAGGTCTAAAAGTGACGGATTTGCGGGGACAGTACGTAATCATAGAACAGTGTCCCCAGAAGTAACCCGTCCCAAAAAAAGATCCCCAATTATGCAAAATTAAAAGCGAAGCATGCATTTGCTCAAGTACGGTTCAAGCTACACGTTTTGCTACATAACATTAGCATTGAAACTAAACGTTTATTATACCTTCAACAGTCCCACAGTGGGTCAGAGGGAAGTTCGGAGACTTAGAACGCTAAAATCTAGCTTTCGAAATCCTCCATAGATATTCTATGCTCTAAATCAAACAATATTCCCACCACTATTCCTTAATGAGATATAAATCTATTTTATTTTCAAATATTAATTTCACAACACATCTAAAATGTTTGCGAAGCCTCTAGATGCAGAGCATCTTTAAATATAAACTTTTCCTGAGACAATGTCTCTGGTTTTCATTAAACACATCTAGTCAATTTACGTAACAGAAACTAATATGGATCTTACCATACGTCCCCCACCTATAGCGAATCCAGGTTCAATACTGATCCAACAATACCTCCCCTACCTATACTGAATCTAGGTTCAATACTGATGGAACCATATCTCACCGATCTATAGTGAATCTAGGTTCAACACTGATCTAACAATACCTCACTCACCTATACTGAATGTAGGTTCAATATTGATCTTACCACACCTCCCTCATCTATACTGAATCTAGGTTCAATACTGATCTAACAATACCTCCCTCACCAATACTGAATATAGGTTCAATACTGATCTTACCATATCTCCCTCATCTATACTGAATCTAGGTTCAATACTGATCTAACAATACCTCCCTCACCAATACTGAATCTGAGTTCAATAGTGATGGAACCATGCCTCACTCACCTATAGTAAAACGAGGATCATTTCTAGTATAACTATATATCAACAATCTATTCTAAATCCCGATTCGCCCACTTATACTTAAATCCAGACTCCATACTAATGTAACCGTTCCCCGTCCATCTTTACTGAGCTAGTTTCAATACTAATCTAACCATGTTTTACTAATATATACTAAATCCAGACTTAATACTGATGTAACCATATCTCGCTGTTTGAACTGGATTCAGATCCACAACAAATTTAACCTTGTCTCGCCCAGATATAGTAAACCCGGACCTAATACTAATGTAACCACGGACTGCCAGTCTAAAATAAACCTCTGTTATATATCCTGAGCCAGATTTAAATCATCTGTACATTTTTTTCTATATTAACACGTGTGACAGAAACATCAATACTGACAAAAAAAAGAGAGTTGTACAGGGTATGAGACGCTTATTAATGTACAAATATGTATTCTTCAGCCTCGATAATAGGCCTAGGATATTACATATTTTCTTCTCTTTGGTAGCATACCTATAACTCTGATAACTGTAGTTCTTATGCATTTACATCCACATTCAATTATTTGATAGCATAGTTTCATAACTCTTAACTACCAACGACGTAAAGTTTCATAACTCTTAACCACCAAAGACATGAAGTTTCATAACTCTTAACCATCAACGATGTAGGAGATAAATAGAAAAAAAGCGTACCATCTTGTACATTTTTATAACGTTAAAAATTAAGAAGAAAAACATGAATGTTGTTGGTTATTAAGAACTCCAATACTATCAAATTTCGTTTTCTATCGAATAACAGAAAATTAAATAAAACACGTTAGGCCTGCTTTGGTAAAGAGATTACACAGAGACTGAAGTTGAACTTATAAACATCCGACTAACCCTAAATGCTCTAAGGTTCATTAGTATTACTTTGGAATTTTAATTATTTTAGGTTAATTCACCTACTGAATTTCATTTAATAGAAATGTGTGTGTATGAGAGAGAGAGAGGGGGTTCAGATGACTAACACTACAAAAACTATGTTAGATGTACCCCAGTGGTACAGCGGTATGTCTTCAGACTTACAACGCTAAAATCCGGGTTTCGATACCAGTGGTGGGCAGAGCACAGATAGCCCTTGTGTAGCTTTGTGCTTAATTACAAACAATGTTAGACTTCTTTGCTATGATTCTAATGTTGTAAGGGGGAACACTCCCTCACTCTTCCTAAAAAAAAATGCAATAGCTCAAGTATGTATCCTTAAAATATCTTGGAACTTGAAAAACGAAATATGTTAGTTAAATGGGAACAAATAGTACACATCATCACGTAATTTTTGAATCAAAAAATAAATATTTCTTATAGAGCTATTTTGTAATATGATACATTTCGTTGTATCTTCTCCTTTCTTAGAAATGAAAGACGTTATCCCACTCAGATTTAGATCTTGTTTGCTCTGCTCTGCATCGAAAATGAGTCAACATCCATGCATCTTGCTCGTCGGATCTCAGTTAATTATCTGTCAGCTGCTCATAAACCCAAGCTTAACACGACTCCACCCACTACATCTGATTGTATGAGCGCCCTCTACTACTGAGCAATTCCGGCGTAGAATCTTTGTAGTACTTTCATTTGTAAACATAGCTTTCAATTTTTATGTCTATATTTAGACTTTTTGATGATTTAAGTATGCTTTAAAGTGAGGCTTCATTTTCCATTTACTACGTTAAAAGAAACGGAAAACAGATCAAAGAATGTAAGCTTTATTGCAAGCATAAAATCTGAAATTACTCTAAAAACCACATTCATTTTATACCAAAAAATACAGTTTAGTAAAAGGTTTAATAATCAAATCCATTTTGTCGTCAAGTTAGAAGAAACACGCTTGTCTTGCTGAATAGGAAAGATAAAGTCAACACAGAGATAATCAGCACACTTTTATCATTGTTTTATTCCACTACGATCTTTCTTAAGGTAACGTAAGTTATAAAGCATGTTGAATTACATATTAGAGTTACTTAAACTCTGATCCTTTCTTCAGAGCTCTTGTTTTATTCCACTACGATCTTTCTTAAGGTAACGTAAGTTATAAAACATGTTGAATTACATATTAGAGTTACTTAAACTCTGATCCTTTCTTCAGAGCTCTTGTTTTATTCCACTACGATCTTTCTTAAGGTAACGTAAGTTATAAAACATGTTGAATTACATATTAGAGTTACTTAAACTCTGATCATTTACACAGAGCTCTTGTTTTATTCCACTACGATCTTTCTTAAGGTAACGTAAGTTATAAAGCATGTTGA